GTATTATAACTTATATGTTATGCTTTGAGTTAAAACATGTCTTAGCATTATTTCTGTTACTTAAGGTTGGTATCAGAAACAGAAATATCAAACTCCAGAAGAAGACGACATGTAGACAATAAGTACGTGTAAAAAGCATTAACAATAACCCGGTAAGGTGTATTCAAAAATACATGCAATTTAAAAAGAAAATTAAGGTCTAAACCTGGTTTTATAGCAAGCAAAACTGACCATTTGTATGACTGTTAGTTCTATTATAATGACAAAATTTGATGAGAACTATAACAAAGAGAACATATGATTCCACGATATTTCATTATAAAACAGTTAACAAACCTAGCGAATTGTTGGCTAGTTGGTAGGATTGTTGTTTGGATAGAAATCTGGCTGTGAAGATAATGTATGTTCCTGTTTGGTATGCTTAACTTTTTTGATTGGTCTCATTTGATTAATGATATCTGAACATCGGTAAATAACTTATGTCCTATATTTCCGATTTAAAATACAAATGTACCAATAAGATTAAGCTGTTTTTTTCTATTTTGTCTATTTTGATTCTATGACTACCAACACCTGCAGATGTGTCCACTGTGATTTCGAGTTTGCAAAGCGAAATAAAAGTGACGTATTAGAATTTTATAGTTGTATTTCTGCATAAAACTTCATAATATCAAACAAATGTTTTACCATACGAATGCTAGCAACACCACTCTACATTCAATACGTTTATTTATACATATATATCTTTATATATATTTAATAGGCTAAAGGTTGCTTATAACGTGATTATTACTCTATTCAAATTGAACGAAGTACATAACTTGAAAGACGCAGTAAAGTGCATGCTCGATGTTATTAAACATAAAACAACTGAACTCTTCAACAATTTAGCATTATATCAACGAAACAGCACATTGAGGAAGCTTACAGAAGGTATAGTTTATATACGCCTTATTATAGTTTTCCTTAAAAAGCAAAGATGTGCCTATGCGCCTATGCCTTTTCAAGTATGATATGTGTAAATGGAATAATACAAAAAACAAATTATAAGAAAATATTTCAATCGGAACTTCACTATTGTTAGTGCATCTTTTTTGTTGAAACACAGTTAGGGTGGGTACTTCTGTGGTGGTACGATTGCTATGTTATTATGGCATATGTAATGATATCAAGATCCAAATTGATTCAATATGATTATGAAAAGACACAGAATAAAGTTACAACAGGAATCATTAAATCTATCAACTAAAATATTGTTATTATGTGTTATGCATTTAAATAAGAAAACAACATCATAAACGTCTGCTAGCTAGTTAAATTTATCTTTACATACAGTATTATTATTCCGAAAAGACTGTGAAAGATATTTTGAAGATTTAAGTTGATAGATTTTAGATTTTAGGACTATTTCTCATAATTAATATTAAATAGTTGTTATTATAGTAAATAAAGATTTTTTTACCGAAATGACTTTCAACGTATATATTTACATCTCCCCGCTGATATGATAAGTGTGATAAGAAATGATGAAGAAACTAGGGCCCACACTCTCTGAGGGTAAGGGTATAATTGGCTATGTTTTCATGACGGAAATCCTAAAAAGCGCACCGGACGTACATAGTTCTAAAGGTATAATTTGCACTTTTTTAAACAGTTGTTTTCCAATCAAACCTTTCAAATTAACAAAAGTAAATGCATTATCATAATGCATTCTCATAGAGCATGAAACTATAAGGATATCCTTCTACAAACATGGATAGCTTGCTCTCTCTCTCTCTTTGTTACATGAATAAGCAATACAATTTTCATCAAATAAAAAAGGTACAGAATAGTGTATGTTCAAACACCCATCATGTATATTATACATTGTTATAACTAATCAACTGTTGTGTCACTATAAATATGGTTGTAACTTTTAGTCTACCGTTCCTGCCAAACCTCTTTCCAGTTTATAATTATGGTTCTTTTTTAGCTGTCGTACCTGGTTTTTTTTTCTGTAAAAGAGCAGGGGGGGGGGGGGGGGGGGGGGGTTTGTGCTATGATTTTTTAGATACAATAATTTAGTTAACTTCTTCATCGTTCATTGAAATGTACAAAGAAGATTGATTTTCGTAGGAATGATATTTAAATAACACCCGAAAAACAGTACCATCGTTTATTAATATCATGTTAGTCGGCAGCCACTGTTTTCATGAATATCGTTGTAACTGCCATGAAAGAACATTATTTGTCTATTAAAAAGTGAAATAACGAAAATTACGAACTCCAAGGAAAATTCAAAACTGAAAGTCCTTTGTCAATGGCAAATCAAAAACCCAAACACAACAAACATGACAAACGAATGAAAAAAGTTGTCATACTCTTGACATACTCCGACATTTCTTTATGCAGAAAATAGTGGATTAAAAATAGCTAGCGAAGCCCCTCATTAAAATATTCAAGGATGCTCTATCCCTGGTTCAAATGATTTTATTTTTATTTGGCACAAATTGATGAAATTATTTGTTTTCGCTTGTTTTCAACTTGATTCGCCTTCCGACTATTTTTATTTTACCGCCACTGATGTATATGATGCGGAAGAAATGCAAATAAATCTTGTTTATCAAACTAAGGGGTTACGTGTATTTTTTTGTTGTTGTATGTTTGTATTAAACGAGAGGCCAAAGATACAAGAGGGACATTCAAACTCATTTTTATGTCTCCTTTTCTAAATGACTACCAACATACATGATATAAACATAGAATTAGGACCGCAGAATTAATCGAATCTTCGCAATTAATATTTGAATATCGCAAAAAGTATTGAAAATGCTTGCTCAACATTGCACGTATCAAAAATACAAATACTTGTTATAAAGCATTTCGATTTATTTTTCTTTCATCTGTCAATGTGATATTTCCTTACAAAGAGGTGTTGATGTCGTCGTTTTAACAAATTTATTTTAAGATGGAATTACATGCAACCACAAATACAACAAGGTCGGTTTAAAATCAATTATTAAAGTTAAAGGGAAAACTATACTTGAAGACAACTGAGCCTTTTTAAACAATTTTATACTACATTTACTATGAACTCCTTATTTTTCAAGAAACAGCATTAAAAACCAAATGTTTGTTATTTTTTTTACGCAATATTGTGATTGCATTTCCTTTCAGAAATGTACCTTTTATTGCTTCAAATGACTGCATCCTAAGAAAAAAATTGACATTTCTTCAAAAATTAATTGCACGCTATTATGCCTTTATTGACCGTTATGAAATATTAACATAGGATACAACATATTTAACCATACATTAGTATATCACTATGTGTTCTATAACCTAATTTTTTATAGATATAGAAAAAATAACTGAGAAAATTTCGCAATTACTGTGTGGCCTAGGATATACATTCAACGAAACCAGCAAAATATGTCAGTCACATTGTCTTAACATTACATGTAAAAATAAAGGGTCCTGTATCTTGGATATATCCGGAAACGCAGTCTGTCGGTAAGTACTTCTTTTATAGAGAAAAGTGTGTCGACAAAATTAAAGTTTACACAACACATCACCTACTAATTAATTCTAAAATAAAAGAAATTAAAGGTTTTTTATACAAATATTGTACATCTGGTGTTTACTTTTGAAGAAAAAAAAATATTTCCTAAGGGACATTCAAACTCATAAGTCACAAATTAACTGACTACGTAATGGCAAAAAAAGAAAAAGAAACAGACTAACAGACAAACAACAATACATAAAACACAACATAGAAAAACCAAAGACTGAACAACACGAACCCCACCAAAACTGTGGGTGATATCAGGTGCTCTGGAAGGGTGAGCCGATCCTTCTCCACATGTTGCACCGATCATGTTGTTCATGCTTGTACAAACCCAGTGATAAGACTTATTTGATAGATCACATTTGTGGAAATTGGGACGGGATTGTAGTTACGACAATTAGAAAATATTCGTTGTCGTCTTTGAAACGGATATGCCATACCGGTAAACCAACTCTTGATGAAAATAAAATTTACAAAGGGATGATTTCAACTTCGCCACTTGGAACTCTTTGATTGATAGCTTTCTTTCGAGCTGCAACCATTTATAACGACATCCTGATAGGAAATACAAGCCCTGGAATATAGTATCAGCTCGGAGATATAAACTCTGTATGTTGGCGCTGCTTGAATGTTGCTAAAAAGAAACGGAACGTTCACAATTGGGAAGCTGAAATCATCTCTTTTGTCATCACGTTTTGTTATTAGCCAATCTTCATTGTCAATTTCTAGAGGTAAGTCAAGATATGAGACAGACTTAACTGTATATGTTGTATCCTTTATCCTAAGTTCGATTTGATAGATGCGTTCAAGATAGTCGCCAAATTTTGAAATATATAGTGAAAGAACTTCATCTATATAACGGAAAGCGAATTTAAAGGATACTTCTTTTTTTTTCTTCCTGAGAAGTTCCTTTATGAAGTCAGCCTCATATGAATAAATAAACGAGTCGGCAAGAAGAGGAGCACAGTTGATGAATGTCGAAAAACACGTCCTCCAAACGTAACCAATATGTTGTCAATCAAGAAATCAAGCATCTTGATAATGTCAGTTTCAGAAATTTTTTCTTGAATCAAAGTGATTTTTTAGTATTTTAGATTGTATGTATTCTAAAAGGTATTGGGACATTTTTAGTATCCACATCTGATTCATGCCACCACTAGAATAGGTAGTTTTTTTTATAATAACTTAGAATCCCGGCGTTTGATTGCTGATAAAATTGATGTTAATAAAATTTGCATTTGTATGAAAAAATAAAAATATGATAAATTCCGAACATTGGTTAAATATTGTCTGTTTTGTATCTAATGGTACCTCGACATTCGTATATAACATCTCATTATATTCATAGTGAAATCTTATCTGACGTGGTTTGTATTTGTGACATTGTATACAAGATATGTGTATCCTAAAAAGATGTAATAATATATTTCCTTGTCATTTTGCAGATGTAAAAAGGATAAAAACTATGTCTTCGCAGGTGACTTCTGTGGCACGAAAGGCGAACTACTGCTACTTGCATCAAAATATATCATCGCTGCTGCTTGTGGGAGTGGTGGAATCATTATAATAGTAGCAATAGTAATTTGCTTCATTTGTAAAGGTAGACAACTAAAGGACAAAACTGAAAAAGACTACTATATGTAAGTTGAATAGTTTTTTTACATTTTTTTTTCTCATGAATTTAGCAACTGTAATTGGTATGTTATGTTTCAGCAAGAATTAAAATAAAACTGATAAAAACACTAAGACATAACAGTCCTGGGCAAATGATAAACAAAATCATATACATGTAGTAAGATTTGTTTTAAATAAACATGTCATCTCAAAAGGTCAAGGTACAATAAATAGGCTATGTCACTGATGTTGGTAAAATTTAGCTGGCCACGTTGATTTATAACTGAAAATCGACAATAAAATGCATTTTCCCTTTATAATTACAATGTATTCCTTAATGTGTTTTTTTTTCTGAAATAGAAATAGTGCATGTGTATAGAAAGTACATAAAGCATTCTTATATTTGTCTTAAAACCATAAAATCTAAAATTTTCTAAAGTTTTTTCAAAAAAGTTATATAGCCTTAATCATGAACACACATTTCCGTATGAGTAATGTGACATAAAGTAAAACGTAGACAACATTTGTTTTCTATACGTCCGGCAAAGTGGTGTTCAAGACGTCAACATTTGTCTGTATACGTCCAGGAAAGTGGTTTTCATTATGAAAAAAAAAGACACAACAGAACACGTTGAAATACACGTTACGTCATTGCGTTTCAAGCCTTAAGACGTTAGGTTTTTTTGGTTTCTACCAACAAAGTAACAGATTGGTGAATGCATCAAAAACGAATGTGATGGCCCTATACTTATTAACCAACATATAAACGGACATGTATGTATCGACAATACGTCACCTTTGTGACAAAATCCATGCATTGATTTTAAAGATTTTTTTATTATAAGACAATTTTGATATTTTTCATATCCCCAATTAGGTGACCTGGTTATACAAATGTGCACCTATTTTAAAAGAATTCATTCAGTAATATTTCAAAAAACAAAAAAGAAAAACGTAGTATGTATCGACTTTCAGTTCAAGTTAAACACACTGCAGCTGTATGACATTTTTTTACAAGAATCTGTGACATGACCCATTTACTGAACTTGACTTTAAGTCGAAAAATTATTGCACACTGGTATAAAATTCGTTACTTTAAAAATAATTAGTGTTTTTGTACCATTTTAGTTTTTATAACAATCACATATGTATGTGCATACTTTCATATTAAGTTTTTGTTTTTTTGTTTAAATATATTTATTATTACCTGAAATTATTACACGAATTTGAACCACTTTTTAAAATGAAAACACGTTATAGATAGCTTGCGTCCTAAGCTACATTTATCTTCCTCAGGCACGCTCAAAGCTGAGTATTTAGAAGCCAATAGTGTATAAAACCGGAAAATTTGAGGAGCTATATCACCAAAAAGGACCTTACAAATAGCCAAATCAATCTAAGGTTAACTTTGCCTGAATTGAAATCATTATTGTCGGTCAAAACCAATTTGCCATTCTTCAGTAATAATGCTTATTTGACAAAAAAAACCCTTCATACAATGCAGAAAATGTTGTTTGTTCTATAGTTTATGTTGATTACCTGAAAATAATACAGTAAGTTCATTGCATTAAATTGTAGTACAGACCAGGCTACCCTAAGTAACAATCATCCAATGGGTTTTTTTGGTCGTCAAAGATTACCATCTAATATGTACTTCTCAATGAGAGATAGTACGTATAACGTTGACGATAGAAGGTACACCGTGATCGAAGATGTAACAAGCAAAAAGGGAAATGTAAGTACATGTATATACTTGTATCAAGCACAAACAAAATGTACCAATATAAGATACGAATCCTCCATTTTTTTAAGTGACATTAGAGTACTTAGTTTCTGAAAGTTATAAATTCTTTTACATGTCTGTGATCAATTTACGTTTCGAAACTGTTATACACATTTTCTTTCTTGCCCAATGCTAAATTCTATCTTGAAATTAAACTTGAAACATTTTATGTTTAAGTCTATTATGCAGTTTAATTAAATATCGAGATGATATTACAGTTTTTTATGAAGTTTGAGAAACTAGTAACGCTACTTGTATGTAGACGTTTAATCCTTTTGTACGAGATTATTTACGTCACATATATTCATAAAAAAATGCATTAACGATTGGATAAAAAAATAAAGAAGATACATAAAAAAATGTATTATAAAATGCTTTCATAATTGAAATATCTAAAGTGGAGATTTCATTAAGAAAGATAAAAATCAAAATGACATAAATCGACCATTAGCATAACACTTCAGAGCAAAATTAGTTTGAGTCATCTAATTTTTATTTTGTTTCATACTCTTTATTTATTCAATTACCTTTAACAGTACCCATTTTGTTGTATTGGTTCCACATTTCGACAGTTAATGTTTCTAAGGTAATGCTCGAGGCCACAACGTCATATTTTGATGATCTGATGCAACCTAAAACGATAATTAGGTAAAGCAAAACTTGAAATTTGCATGAGGAAAAATTATTTCAAAAATTTCAGCAGTTTTATATAATATATATTTAATTCATGAACCAAATAACCCCCCAAGGGTGACTGGGGAATAGAAGTATGGTCACCATTGGTCTTCCTCCGACCGGCAGGAAAACCCGTGCTAAAGTGGGGCGTCCGTTTGGCTGTGCGGGATGTACAAATTTGCAGCCACGTCCGGTCAGAATGGGGACGTTAAATCCGATGCCTCGTGTAAAGAGAGTGCCACGCTCTTTGCACGTTAAGAACCCTTGCAACAACTCTTTGAGGGGTCCGTAGGTGACCTGTTGCAAGGCTAAATTTCTGTCTCTATCCAATATACCCTCATTTCCCGTGGCAGTCTAAATTTCTCCGACCTTAATCCCTTAATCTATTACAGAACCTACCTATTGTATTTATTGTGAACTTGTTCTCGTCCTGAATATGCATGAAATATTTGCCACTGGACGTTAAGCAACCAACAATCAATCAATCAATGAACCAAATAATGAATCGAAGTACTGGGTCAATAGTATAGCCAAACTCGCATAGGACATTCGAGTTTTGTGTCAGGTAGATACGTTCTTTTACGAAAATTATTTCCAAAGTTTAGTAACAGCAATTTTAGATTGAAGATATATTCGTGTGCCGATATTTGACCTATGTACATACATTTAATTGGAAGACGTACCAACCTCGTTTCAATTACTACATTACTTGTACTAGTTCTTATTATTCTGAAACACATTTCGTTAGTGATGTTCACGGCCATTGTTTTTAACACCAAAGACCTAAGATTAATATTGTAAGATAAGGCAACGGTTGGTTAACCGATGTTCGAATATTATACATCGATTTAAATGACAAATAAGCTCTAAAGGAATACACAAAGAGTTGATAAAACAAAATGGTCCTAAAGTATAGACAAACTTAATAAGGAATCAAAACATCGCAGGAAAGAGACGCATTTTAAATATTTCCAAAGTGTAATAATGGTTTTAACAAACTGAAAACTATCAACAGACAGGGGTATATTAATGGTCAGAAGGGTCTAGTATATGCTGTTTTTATTGTGTAACACAATCCATGTGAACAGCACATAACGCATGCAAGTGACATGTTTGATGAGTATGTTTGACATCACATTTAAACGACGACAAGACAAACAGAACACAGGTATGGGAATCTGTTGCAAATAGAGAATTTATCAATGTTAGATACAAATATTTTAAACATCTGTTCACACCCTTCTTATCTCAGTAAATACAACTACTTGTAAACAACAATGCTCTGAACTGGTTTCTTTGTTTCTGGTTAGTATTGTTGAAAACTGGTAACATGAAGGGTAACCCGATGCAATCTAATGTTAATGATGGTATCATAAGCTCTTAACTGTTATTTATCATTTAGATGTCTGTTTTTTGTTTTTGTTCCGTAATAGATAAACGCAGATATAATAATAATGTCAAAAGCAGATAACAATCGGCAATATAGTTGAAAGCACTTTATCATGTTAAATTAAGACGTCTAGGGTTTTTTGTTTCAGACATATATTTACAACCCATCGTCAGAACCGTCAGCAAATACAGAAATTGATAACAGATCTGACCATGTATACTACAACAAATCTTTTTGTTCTGAAGAGGTAAATTAAAGACATATGATGCAATGTTTGTAATTCAAAACTATTAATACCTAGTTGATCAGTTGTTCTTCTTTCATGTTTCTATGTTTGAAAGGTAATGGGGTTTGGTCATCATGGCGTCTTTCTTTGACAAGTGGTTTAAGTAACACTCATTGTGAATTTTTATTTGAACTTCTTGAAATATTAGGCTTTTTTTGTACGAATTAATCTAGTTGAAGCTTTTAAAATTTCTATTGTCATGAGATGATTAAGAGACTTCTCCAATCGTGTCGAGTATTCATGTTTCGTAAGAAATTAATAACCAAATTATCGACTATAGTAAAATGTTTTTCGTGAGACTACAGTAATTGAGTAAAACGTATTGAATCGGATCGACGTTTCAACGTTTCTTTGAAGCTGATCATAGCTTTTCTAGTTTATCTGTGCTTAACTACTCTTCAGATACGGAAATCAGTATCATGAGAGTTATATTTACAGTTTTCTAACTTTAGTCACAATATTTTAGGTATTTTTTAATTTATTAAGTTGTTAACTAGTTTACATTCAAATACATTCATGGAATGTTTAAGTATGTTAAATGTTAGTCAATTACATTTCTTATTGAAGGACGTGAAAACACATCACATACTGGCACGGACTGCATTGTTGTGAATTCAAACAAGAACAAACAAATACAACATCATGTACAGATAGAAAGCGCGTATATTCCAAAAAAAAATGCATGTTTACTGATTTTGCATAGCTTTACAAATATTCATAGTTTGCGCATTGAAAATCAAAATCTGCAGTAATAGTAATGACCAAATGTGAGTGCGTGTACTAACACGAAACTAGAAAACAATTTTAAAAACATGAACATAAACAGTACATCCCGTTGATGTCATATTTAGGCTGTTTCACTTTGATGACGTTATCATGTAATTGGATATCTAAATGTATCATGATTTATCAAAAGTAAGGTAAAATTTCTGATATACTCTCTTGATTTATTGGCTATTACTAATCTACCATTTTGTATAAACCATTATATCATGGTAAATCTCATGAATATGGTATTACAACTGTGTCAAGATATAACATTTAGGAAGTCCGTTATCGTTTTATAATTTTTATAAAATATGCATCTAACAGTATATTCGGTATGAGTGCCAATGACACAATGTCGTCTAGTCATCATCAGCAAAACCAAAACCATCAAATAAGCAACATATATAGTGGATAACAAATTTTGAAACGCTTTGATCACCGCACAAACACAGTATGTGCAGAGGTAACGCACGCTTCTAAGCGTGTAATTTCAGGCCTCACTAAAACAAAGATTATCCGGTCTGTTACATTTTGAAACATTTGCAAAACGTTCGGCAATGCTTGAATGAACGTATTTACTATAGAATTAATAATCTTATTTCTGGCAAACGGTACTTTTTTGTTTAAATCACACTGTCTGATTGTAGTTTGCCATTAAAAGACCACACTTACGGACTGAGAGGGATTCATTTCGTTCGGATTATAACAGGTTTGTGTATAAAAGATAGGTTATGGCGAAGGAATACTCAAACTAATAAGTAAATAAAAAAAAACTGATAATGCCAATAACAAAAAAGACAACGCAGAAACCAAACAATAGTATACATAACACAACAACGAACACTAAGAACTAAGCAACACAAACTTAAAAAAAAATGGATGTGATCCCATGTGCTCAGTAAATGTATGAAACTTTACTCCACAAGCGCCAGGGGTTCAAAACTTCATTATTTCAACATATATAATGAAATCGATAGGTTATCAGATAATCCTGCATTTAGCATGTTTAAAAGAAATAATAAGAAAAAAAAGGAAAATCTTCTCCGAACTTTAAACAATATGTTAATACCTATATTTTGTGCTTTTGAATGAAAGTAGATAAAGAATCTATGTTATTTAAACAGAAAGTCAACGACTTCATTAACCAAATGTTAACAACGAAAAATGCAGACGTTTTATAATAACTTGAAGTTTCTTTTTTCTGCTTACAACACCTTTTTTTAACATGAAAAAGGCAACATTTAAAAATCCAACTGTACTGTTCATTTGTATTCAAATGTCTCGTGTCGTGTGAAATTAATCTTGTATATATAATTGCAGACCAAAGATACATCGACCAGATTACATGTAATATAACTATGCAAGTCATTCGAAAGTCATACACGGCATAAGGTGTAATGGACATAAAGAATGTATTTTTGTATCACCATGGACAATGTGACATTAACCTACCGTCCATTGAAGCATTTGATTTTGTGTAACCGTTACGTTTTGCCATTTTGTTGATGAAATAATGTTGTATTTTTTACTTTTTAAATGAAAGAATGTGTTTCATATATAAGTGGATCACCGGTTTGATGAAGTTATAAAATGAATTGATAAACATTTTTCTTATCAAAATCATATGCATTTATCTAAATATGTTTATATATTCAGAAATGACTTAATAAAGCACATACAGCCGGATATTTCATTATTTCGACGAAGAGGAATACACTCGACTACCCTTTTTGATTTAAATAACTATCAAATTTCAGGTCTTATTTTGAATTATACACTTTTTGGCACACGGTTCGTATAGCTGGTATGTGTAGTTTATGTCACAGTAGACTAAACATTATCCTGGGAATGCAAAATATAAGAGCTGGATTACGCATTGAAAAGTTTAATTATCATTTGTGCCAGAGTTATATATTTAACATGAACAGAGACGTGCATACATTATAACTGCATGGGCTATTAGGATCCAAACAAATGACAATGCATTGCATAGGATTAGATATGAGGGTTTTAAAACATGTCGTTAAATTCACACATACAAACACACTCACAAAAAATCAATCAAGAACAATCCTTTTAAACATGTTAGCTATAACTAATTATTTCATTATAATCATAGTCACAAATCTTTTCACATATTATGTTTTCATCGCGCAACGAGTTAGAATAAACAATGTAATACGTAATAAAATTGCCAACTAAAATATTTTTAATGAAATGGCAACGTACATGAGAAGTGGCATTAAACTGTTATTTACGACCTTCAACAATAAAAAACAAACACTATGAAAGTCTTTGTTTAAAGATTGATTTTCATTAATCTACATTTTCTCAACGTTAATAGCGTTAGATGTTTGTCGAAAGAGTCGAGTGTTTTATCCGTTTATTGGTTTAAATTTTCACAACTGATATAACAAGATGACAGAAAAGCTGTAAGATGTTTGGTCGAGTTTTATTTGTACATTAAAAACACGTATAAGTCGTTCTTTTTGTTGTTGTTGTTGTTGTTGTTGATGTGTTTTAAATCACTTACAGTTACCTTGGCTAAACCATAGCACATAGTTTAAGTGGTAGAGGACACGGGTGTCCCTGAGAGAACCAACGACCATCGGTCGGAAAACTGACAATGATAATCAAACAATTACCATTCCGGTACTTGTTTTAATGAAACAAATGTGCATTTGACAATTAATGTCTTTTCAGTAATGCACTGAGGTTAAAATTCTAAAAAGTACCTGAGTACTGGTTTCTTGGCTTATGATTCCACCAGAAGAGGTATTTTAAGCAACTGTTAACATCTTTTTGTAGAAGCGTTTTTTTTTTATTCATATGACGCAAACTTCGTGCATCTCAGGAAGAATTACTGGAGTATTGGTTCTTTGGTTCGAAAGCTATTTGAACTCAAGAAGGAAACATGTTGTCATTGTTTTGAACTCAAGAAGGAAACATGTTGTCATTGTTTTGAACTCAAGAAGGAAACATGTTGCCATTGATAAGAGAAACGTCCAACACTGGGCATGCATCAGCTCTGGTACCTCATGGGTCCATTTTGGGTTCCATTCTATTTCTAATGTATATAAATTACAAAGTAAATGATATAGAATGTAATATTAAACCTTTTGCTGATGACACATCAATTTGTATAGCGGTTGATAACGAATATGAAGCGGTAGAACAGTTAAATAAAGATAATCAAAAGATACATATTTGGTCTTATCAATAGTTTTTCCATTTTAACCCAAACAAAAGATAATTAATTACTATAAAATCGCCAGAAACCTCATCATCCACCAGTTTATGTGAATAATAATATGATAAAACAAGTCGAGTCGCATTAACATATACATGAAGCTGGAATAATCACGAAAAAATTATTAATGATAAAGCTAATCCACAATTAGCCTAATTCCGAAAGCTGGGTTTAAATTAAAAAAGAAAATAACTATTTATTTATCTTTTATACGGCTAGTCTTAGAATATATTGATATTCTGATTATTTTAAAAACATATTTTAACAACTTGCAAGTAAAAGCAGCGCAAATCGTCACAGGTTGTATCAAGATAGCATTGAGATATTTGCTGTACGATGAAACAGGTTTGGACACTCGTTTCTCACCTAGCCTGAGGAAGAAAACATATATGTTTTGAAAGACTCAGACTCCATAGTTGTATTTTTAAGGACCATAAGTTTCAATTGAAAAATAAAACCAAAACCACACTATGTTCCTGTGGTTAAGTAATGCCTATCTCTCATTACTTCCTTACATGTCCATAATATAATGATATTCGTAGGGATACTAAAGGGACAGTCTCTTGTACTACATGTAACCATCAGATTATAATATGGGGACAGTTTAAAGTCTAATGAGGACAATAGGCATATATTACATAAAGTTTCAGAATATATGAATAAAACAAAACGTTTAAATGGATATGAATTGAATAATTATACACATTGATGTCAAATTGAGTTGACCGCCCGTAATGTGTTGTAGTTCCAGTGACTACCTACCAACAAAATAAAAGTTAATTGTTTCTTTGCTTTTTGTTGTTTATTCATGGGTGTAGTTATTAAAATGTATTATCTGTTACCTTAAACTGGAATTATTGTTGGCACGTCATCTTGTTTGTTAAATTTTATATTTTTGTAGGGAGACGGATTTATAAAAACAATTTCCAAACTTGTTTCCAAATCCCTCATTTGAATTCTATGAAAAATTGTACTACTTCATTGTTAAATTTTTTTTAATCCTAAATACTGTTTAAACTAAGGAAACCAGACACTAAAGGTGTCTCGAATTGAAGTTATATAAAGTCCATTCATCGAACATATCAAATATGTAATTGATTTTGATTCTGCAACATTGCATCTCATAAACACATACGTGATTTAAGGTGCATTATTGAAAAGACATTAATTGTCAAAATGCGCATTTGTTTCACTAAAACAAGTACCGATATTGTAATTCTTCGATTATGTGTTTCCAAATATTTGGAGAATCATACGTGATTTAAGGTAGAATGAATGTCTTTCGCCGTCTCGGATTATAAAATATCAGAACACAATTTGTCTAGATGTTATATCAACTCAGCATACTTTGATGCAGAAATGCAATAAAGTAATGTGGTTTTTCATTTAAATAAACATTTTTTTTTTTGTAACTTTCAATAATATTTACTTAAATTTTTACAAACTAGGTAGACTAGTTTTGCTTGAATTCATTTTGTTTTTAAATTAATATATAACTAAAGGAATCTAAGTGTTTCATTTTTTTTTTAAATATTTTATGGTAAAGTTTACTCATTTCAGGTATACATATGTGGAAACTGATAAGATACTTAACAAAATTTGTGAGTACTCGTATTAAAGTCGAATAGTCGTAAAATATAAACTAGTACATAGTATACTTGTCGGTATGAAATATCAATTTGATATTTTAATACATTTTGAATCAAACAATCGAATATCTTAATACGTTAACTTGTCAACAAAAGGAAATACATCAACAAGATTCTTGATATTTTTTTTATTGAAAACATATTTGTTACGCTCATTTGGAGAACGAGTTTTCAACAAACCACCAGATTTCCTAAAGGAACCAACTGGGTTCCTCTTTTTGTCGAAGTCTTCCTTTATTCATCTGAGTCATCAGGCCGTTAGTTTTTTCGTTTGAATTGTTTTTTATTTGTTATTTCTGGGCATTTTATAGCTGACGATGCGGTATGGGTTTTACTTATTGTTGAAGGCCATACGGTGAGCTATACTAGTTGTTAATTTCTTGGCATTTTATCTCTTGTGGTTGTCTCATTAGAAATAATATCGCATCTTCTTATTTTTGTATTCATGCATAATCTGCTCAGGAAGAATAAAAAGAAGCAATTTTTATCATATAACTTCTCGTTCTGCTTTATAGATAATTAAGTTTGGTAAAAATTTTAACTCATATATCATATAAAACTTGATATTAAAAATACCAAAGGTTCAGTTAAGTCTGATTCATATCTTGAACTACATCTAGAAATCTTGAATTACATTTAGAAATTAATAATAATGGTCAGTTGAAATCATAACGAGTTGTTTGACCGTACTTGGATATAATTCCAGAGCACTTGAGATCAACCCGTTTTCATGGGATTTATGTTGCTCAGTATTTAGTTTTCTATGCATCTTTTATGGACTTGTTTGTCTTTTCATCGTCACTCGTCAATGCGTTGTCAGTTTTATTCGACCTATGAGTTTTGAATGTCGCCTTGGTTTCTTCGGCATCTTTCATAAAAATATCTAATAATTAAATATGTACAATTCAACATTATAAAGTAATGTCACAGCCTAGTTTACAAAACGTTTGTGATTATAAACATGCTTTTTTTTTTTTCGTCCATCGCATTTGCTTCCTTCTGTCTTATGGTTCATTTTTCATTTGAATAACAAAATGATATGAATACTCTATTACTAACCTGACTATACGGTATAGGTTTGTTTATTGTTACAGGCCGTACGATGACTATGATAGCTTACGTCATTTGGACACTGATGGATAATTGTCTCATTGGCAATTGTACCACATCTTCTTATTTTTATGCATAACGATCTGAGTAGTCTGCATCTTTTGTGGTATGCAAAGCTTTAACACTTACAATAAAAGATAACGTGAACCAACCTATGTGTATTCTATCATGAAATAGATAGGATAAAGAATATCGAATATGAAATATAAAAGCACATATTTTTGTAATAGAGCTTTCTTAAATTTTGATGAAAGGTGCGTACGCTTGACAAATCATACGTAAGACCAGTTTGAGGGATCCTGTATTTTGACATTTGAATTCTTTGTATGTAATATTAATCAAGGCTGTCATGGGACTTAAATTACATTTTGCCTCAATATTTGCACATCAACGACCATAACACTGCATGCCTCAACATATGTCTAACTTGAATTTGCAGGTGACATCGTCATTTTGTGACGTGAAATGTAAACAAACTTAAGCAGACCTTACAAATATTGTTCTCAACTAAAAATATGACAAGCAAAATGTGTTACGGAGCTCCGGTTTAATCATTTAGATGTTCAAATGTGTTATACATGTATATAAACAAAACAAGTTCCATAATTAGAGCCAAAGGCGGATTCAGAAGTGAGGTGCACCTGATGTGTCTCTACTCGTTCAATATATT